AATCATATTTTTTCGCTTGGGCCAATCAGCCAACCAGGGGTTTTCGAATGTGGGCTATCAGCCAATGATGTTTTTTCGCTTGGGCCAATCAGCCAACCAGGGGTTTTCGAGGATGGGCTATCAGCCAATCATATTTTTTCGCTTGGGCCAATCAGCCAACCAGGGGTTTTTGAATGTGGGCTATCCACCAATCATATTTTTTCGCTTGGGCTAATCAGCCAATCAGGGGTTTTCGAGTGTGGGCTATTCACCAATTATATTGTTTCGCTTGGGTGAACCAGTCAATCAGGGGTTTTCGAATGTTGGCTTCCAGTCAATCATAGTTTTCGCTTGAAAGATTTATCGGGAGGATGAAGGTGGGTGTGGGTGTAGGTGTCTTTGTGAGGATCTCTTTTTCTTATCCACACTGGTACCCGCACCGACACACCTACACACAGGCACTGTGTCAATATGCTGTTATATATTAGGAGTAGACTACTCGAAAAAGCATGCTGGCAAGAACAAACATTAGCTAATGTTTAATTATGAAAGAATTGTGAGAAAAAAAAAGGGTGATTGACTAGAAGATGAGAGATGTTCTCGTTCAGTCTCGATTTAATTGATCTCTATTTAATCGTGAAGTTCAAGAAAATTTTTTTAATTTTCTCATAGTCACAGCTTTTATCACTTGATGCTTAAAATATCAGTATCAAGAAGAAGATGTATGAGAAAGTATAGATGTATCTTTTTCAGTATAGCGTTAAAGATTGAGAATCAAGTGCTCAATTATACAAAAGTTTTTTATTGATACATATTACTATGGAGATTCGTCTCCCCTATAGATACTTAATAGTTTTTTATTTTTTTTTATTTGAATGAAGCTAAAGGAAAAATTATTATTTTACGTAAAAGGCAAAAAGAGAATATATGCATTTGAATTTTAAAATCTTCTACATTGAAATAATGAGTGAAATCTAAAATTTTTTAAATTTAGATCTAACTGGATGTATCATAATTGGCACTTCTTTCATTATGAATTTCTGAGACAAACCAAGAACTTTATTCATAAACTTTTCTGAAAAAAGTGTTTTAAAATACGAAATATCAATAATATATGTTCGGAGATCAAGATGAGAAAAAAACATCTTGAATAGAATAACATTGAATTGTAATATGAAATTTATTGAAATTATGTTTTCTTCCAACATTTTTTTTGAAAATTAAAACGAGTTTAAGTGAATAACAACAATAAATATAATGAATTTATTTGTCTAAAATATATTGTGTTCTTATTACTTTGGGAAGCTTTAGACCATTGCATATGAATAATTTAAAAGATCGAAAGAATATAACTTAGACTAATGACTTTACGATATGAAGGATGATTGTTCTTCAACAGTTTTCATATTTTTCTGTACGTTACAATTTGAAAGCAAACAAACAAGGAAACTAAAAAAGACAAATAATTCCAGTATCACATTTTATCTTGATCAATATATGGATATTATCATATATTTCAATCGTCTGCCAAACACACTGGATTTAGAAACTAAAATTCAAATGAATTGTTTAATACATAATGTCTTTTGGCGTATTCGATTGATTTATTTTCTTATCAAATCTAGTTGATTAGCAATTAATATGTCTTTCTATAGTGTTATTGGTATATATGTTTAATAGTCTTTTTTCGAATTATCAAATTTTTTTGTGAGTTAGAAGAAAAGAACATGATAACATAAACATTTCACGGTCGATATTTGAACAATTTGAATTGATTTCCAACAGAAAAAGCAAACTTATGTCATCATTGTTAAATATAGTTTTGAACTTTCATAGAAATTCAATTATATCATGTATTTTGAAAAGTTTTAACGACATTTTAAATAAAAAAATTTCGAAAATATTTTCTACACGATTTCTTTATTTTTCCCTCGACTGAAAGGAGGGTCATACAAAAAAATAGTTTGTGTGTGTGTTTGTGTCAGGGTCAAAAGAACATCGAGGTCAAAAAAAATACCGTCTAAAAGGCTTATGAGCACTTGCCTTTCACATGTACTTCCGGTAAAGTTTGACCAAAGATTGTTGAGGTTGAGGAATCAAGTGGTGCTATTAGGTTTTCAATTTTTTCAAATAGTGTTTTTTCTAAAAAAAGGCTTTTTTTGAGAAAATAATGATTTTTTTATAAAGTTTGACCAAAGGTTTCCGGAGTCAAGGAATCTATTGACATAGTTAGTTTTTAGGAATGTTTTCAAAAAATTTTTTTCGGTCCAGTATGCACTGTTTTTAGAAAAAAATGGTACATATAAGTTCTGGTAAATGCACTTCTGTTCACAGTTGATAATTGGCCATGTTGACGATAGTTCAGGTTGCATAGCTGTAACCGGATGGAAGTACGAAGCCGCAATGAAAATTTTCAAAATAATGATCAAAACTATATTAAATATCATGGCGGAAGTATAGTCAAATAGTGATCCTATTATTGAATTGTAAATATTAAAAATAACAGAAAAAGAAAAAGCGTTT